CCTCGGTCTCCATGTTCCACCTGATGGCTGAGTAGTTTGCCTAGAATGAGCGGTAGGCGACAGTGACTGGCCTTGGATTCTAGGAAAGTGCATTTCCTCTGCACTTCCTGTCTTATTCTTGAGGGACATCCTCTCCTTTGCTCCTGGGTGGGCTGCATCCCACAACTGAATCTTTTGGCTGTAAGGAATGTCGGGGAACCAACGGGACTGGGCTGGGCCTGGGGCTGGGCGCAGGGGAGATTGCCTCGGGGCTACCTGGGCGGTGGAGTGTCGGGAGTGGGGTGAACTTTGCAGAAACCTCTTTGCTCCTTTGGCAGGCATTTCAAAATGTGGCTTGGGCTCACGCACAGACCCCTCCCGGGTTCCCAGGTGTTCTTTGATTTTCCTTGGCATTGATGGAAAGGTCACCTGTGCCCCTCTTCCACTAGGCACATGCCTGGACACCATCGTTTGTTTCGCCATTGCTCCATATGCCCTCTGTGTCACACATTCACCCCATCTGCTCTGGGATACACCAGTGCAACGTGTGGTTGCATTGGCTCCACCTCAGATTTGCCCCTGTCCCTGTGTGCACCTGTCCTGGAAAGCGGTGTCGGCTTGCAGGAGCCCCAGGGCTTTTAGAAGCCGGGCAGGCCACTGCTCTTTCAAAGGAGGAGGGAGGCAGATGGCTCATGGGTCAGTGAATTTTCAGCTGACACCACGCCCTGAGGCCTATAGGATCATTCTGCGCTGCAGCAAGGCCCTGCCTGCCTCACCAGATGCGGTGAGCCCTCTTTCTCACCCAGAGGGGTCCAAAATCGCACCTGAAGAGGAGTCCTGAGACCCCAACAGGCATCCTGAGGCTCCCCCTCCACCGGTGGCAGTCGGCTCCAGGAGGTCCTGAAGACAGGACTCCTGAGGATTTGGCCGTGGGACGCCCGCGGCCCCCTCTCCCACGCTGTCCCCTACTGGACCTCGGATCTAGCCGCCACCAGGGCTGCAGCAGTAGCCCCCCTGCAGCCGCGCAGCTGCCATTGTTTCAAGGGGCCACAGTCTGACTTCCAGGAGCAGAGCGCGAGTCGGACCAGCCAATGCACATGCGCAAAGCGCGAGCTGACCCTCCCATCACAGTGATTCCCATGGTTGTCTCAGAAACTTGTCCCTGAGGCTTGGCAAAGGAGGGCTCAAGGAGCCCTCCGTGGCAGTTCTTGGGTATCAGGGCTCCGAGTCTCCGGCCTGCCCCACAGTGTTTTCATCCCCTTTCCATTCTGAGCGGCCTCTTTGCTAGGATCCCGAGGACCACACCCCAGCCAAGGACAAAGGTCTCCCAGGTGCTCACTGTCCACCCGCAGGAGGGTGCCCACAGACCTTCAAGAAGATGGTTCTCACTCCTTTCGCCCTCCGCCCTCATTGAGTAATCTAGCCACAGCTCGACACAGGGACAGAGAAGGAAGCCGGCAATGACATGGGGCAAGCATCTCTGTCACACAAACGCTGGCCTTTCTGTCCAAGTCACCCGTTTTGCACTTCTCCCCGGATGCCCGTGATGGTTGCATTTGCCGTATCCTGCCTGGGCTCTGGCCTCTGCTCTGTCCTCCCTCTTGCTCTGTCTGCCCAATTTTGGACAAGCCTTGAGGCTTCTTCGTCTGGCTCAGTGTCTTCAACAAAGATCACTTCCCAGTCTATCAGGGACAAACTTCGTGGGGGTCCATTTCGTGATTGCTTCTCTCTGCAAACCTATTTCTGGTTGATTGGGCAGGTGTGATAATCCTGGAGCTCTGGGCTTCCATACCTGTCTGGGACGGGGAAGCTCCCTCGGTCTCCATGTCCCAACTGCTGGCTGCGTGGTCGGTCCAGGAAGAGCGGGAGAGGACACCAGCGTGACTCACCTTTGCCTTCTAGAAAAGGCGGTGTTGCATCTCTCCTGCACTTCCTCTCTCATTCCTGAGGGTCATCCAGTTCCTCTGCTCCTGAGGAAAGTGCCTGCAAGCACTGAATCTTTTCGCTGCCACGATGTCAGGGGGCCAAAGGACTGGGTTTTGCTGGGTGCAAGGGAGGTGGCGTCGGGGTACGTCCATCACTGTCCGTCTCGGCATCGCCCCGTATGGCCTCAAAGACACACGCTCACTCTATCTGCTCTTGGGGGACATCAGTGCCACGTGTGGTCACATTGCCTCCATCTCGGACTCACCTCTGTCTCTCTTTGCACATACGGCAGAAAGGAGTGTTGGGATGCGGAGTACCTGGGCCTTGGAGATTAAGGCAGGAGTCCACTGCTCCACCCAGGAAGGAGGGAGGCAGTGGGCTCACGGATCAGTGCATTTTCGGCGGACAGTACGCCCTGCGGCCCTTGGGATCTTTCTGTGCCCCAGCGAGACCCTTCCCACCTCACTACACTGTAACCCCATTCCTGTCACCCGGTCGGATCCATAATCGGATCCGAAAAGAAGTCTGGAGAGGCCAGCCGGCACCCTGAAGCTCCTCCTCCACCGGGAACCGAAGCAGAAGACCAATGGAGAAGGTCCTGAGAACAGGACTCCTATGGGTCCGATGCTGGGTCTCCCGTAGGCCCCTCTCATAGTCCTCTTCCCACCCGCCGCCTCAGACTGCGCAGCCGCCGCTATCAGGGCTGCCCCAGTCCCCGAATCCGCCTCGTCGCCGCTTTTTTTTTTTTTTTTTTTTTTTTTGAGACGGAGTCTCGCTCTGTCGCCTAGGCTGGAGTGCAGTGGCGCGATCTCGGCTCACTGCAAGCTCCGCCTCCCAGGTTATGCCATTCTCCCGCCTCAGCCTCCAGAGTAGCTGGAACTACAGGTGCCCACCACCAGGCCCGGCTAATTTTTTTGTATTTTTAGTAGAGACGGGGTTTCACCGTGTTAGCCAGGATGGTCTGGATCTCCTGACCTCATGATCTGCCGGCCTCAGCCTCCCAAAGTGCTGGGATTACAGGCACCTGCCACCAGGCCCAGCTAATTTTTGTATTTTTAGTAGAGACAGGGTCTCATCATGTTGGCCAGGCTGGTCTTGAACTCCTGACCTTGGGTGATCCACCCCCCTCGGCCTCCCAAAGTGCTGGGATTACAGGCGTGAGCCATTGCGCCCGGCAACACAGGTTTTGAGAGGACGGGAATGGGACGTGGCAAGGATCTGTGAGTGTGCAGGCTGTGTTTCACATATCATTAAACATAGTCTAGTGAGTGTTCTGCAGATAACTGGCATTTAAGTTTGTTTTACTGAATCAAGGAAAAGAAAAAATGCTGAGAAAAAAATGACACAACTTGCCTGCCAGTCCATCTGATTGTTACAAACTTAATAGTAATTTTAATTTATCCTCTCATGTAAAGGTCCTTGGCAGTGATACCTAATTTCCTAAGATAGCCTTGCTTTATTTTGTATGATAAAGCTGTCATGCATATCAGAGTATCTGGAAATTCTTCCCAACACCCTTGACATATGTAACCAATACATTCCCAAAATAATATACCAAACCAAACAACAGAAAATAATTTGTTACTTAGTTCCTTCAAATTTGTTTATTTCAGTTGTGGTTCCTTCATGCAGGAAACATTTCATGTGTGTCTGGCACTCTTCCAGTCACAGATTTCATCTTAAACAACCTAAGTATTGAAATGCTTGTGCCCTTTGATTAATTTTTCCTACATAAATACTTTGATAAAGAGCTACACTGAGGGCAGGTACAGTGGCTCACACCTGTAATCCCAGCTCTTTGGGAGGCTGAGGCAGAAGGACCAGGAGGTCAGGAGATCCAAGACCATCCTGGCCAACATGGTGAAACCCTGTCTCTTCAAAAATACAAAGAATTAGCCAGGCAAGGACAAGCGCTGGCTCGTGCCTGTAATCTCAGCACTTTGGGAGGCTGAGGCAGATGGATCACATGAGGTTAGGAGTTCGAGACCAGCCTGGCCAACATGTTGAAACCTTGGCTATACCAAAAGTACAAAAATTAGACCCAGAAGGTCATATCCGAATGAGAAAGGCATTGTTTGGCTCAAATTGTCTGACACTAAGAACAGTGCAGACTGGCCAAGTGAGGTGGCTCACACCTGTAATCCCAGCACTTTGGGAGGCCGAGGCGGGTGGATCACCTGAGGTCAGAAGATCAACACCAGCCTGACCAACATGGTGAAACTCCATTTCCACTAAAAAAAAAATTACAAGAAAATTAATCAGGCGTGTTGGCACATGCCTGTAAATCCTAGCTATTCAGGAGGCTAAGGCAGGAGAATCACTTAAACCCAGGTGGCAGAGGTTGCAGTGAGCAGAGATCATGTCATCACACTCTAGCCTGGGCAACAAGAGCAAAACTATATCTCAAAAAAACAAGAATAGTGCAGAGTTAAAGCAGATTTATTTTCAAAGAAGCAGGGAACCTGGAATTTTGGGTGAAATGTCCCAATTGCCAGAAGCTGAAAATGCTCTCAAATGTAAAATTCAGGTCAGACTATATCAAGCTTCTCCTTGTTCTATGTGTGAACAGCTAGTCTGTATCTTCACCTATGCATATTTAAAAATCAACCTTAAGAAGGCCCTTGGCCACCATAATCCTTCCACACTAGCAAGAGCCCAGCCTCTGAGACTAGGCGTCCTTCTGCCTCCCACTGGAATGCCTTCCCCAGAATCTCCAAGATAACAAACTGGTCAGGGGCAGCTGAGACAGCCCTACTTCTGGGAGTCCTCCCCAACCACTTGAAATCACAGGCATCTCTGCTGTCCCTGCCTTTCATCCACATCACTGAACAATTAAGTGCACATGTCTCAGTACTTTTATTTAAACCATTCCTTGTGTGTTTACAATTAACTACTTCATGAATGACTGCAGTACGGATGGAGCAGAAAGGAATGCTGAAGGAGGACTCCTGTTCGAATAAGCCGCTCTTCCAGAACTAGGAATGAACTTTCCCCAGTACCAACAAGGCAGCCTCCAGGGCAAGAAAAGGTAACGGGATCCATCCTGCTGACATCCAAGATGGAATTACAGGTAACTCTCACCTCTTTTTTGACTCTAAGGTGGAAACCCCCTCCCCACGAGGTGAAGCGGAGTCCGCTCCAGAGCCCCGAAGTTGGGGTCGGGGATGTCACAGAAATCACCAGGGCAGCCAATTCCCATCCACAGGGGGCTCCCATCCCAGGATGACCCAGCACCCTCAAGCTCAGCCCCAAGCTCGGGCCAGGGAGTGAAGCCCTTGTCCCCAAGCAACAGAGTGAGGGTTTGTCTCTAACCCTGTGGGCTCCAGTGAAAGGAAAATGGCCTGGAGGTGCCCACAGGAGAGCACCCGAGTTCTGAGACAGATCTATGGCTCCCAGCCTGAGTCCCCGTGAGTAACACAGGGACGCACAGAGGGGCATGCTGCCTGCCTATAGGGCACTCACCGAACGCGGGTGCACGCTGCGGATCCTGAAGCCGGTCAGGTAACGAGGTGCAGAGGTGTGGGAAACACCTGGAGGGAGGCCTCCCCGGGTGCCCACCAGCCTAACCAGCCGGGACCAGCGACCAGAAGTGCTTCTGACGTTAACGCGACACACGGAAGGTGCGTAGGGTACGTAGTGGAAGTGACCGCAGAGGCCTCTGGGTATTGTAGTTTTGGAGCTAGAGAGGCGGGCAAGCAGTTGGCTTTGCCCACACAGGGTGCCTCTGACATCTGCACAGCGCACACAGCCGAGTTTAAGAGCCCACTGTTAAGATGCCCAAGTGACGTTGACAAGTTTCTCCTCTGCGAGCCAGTGAGATCTGATGACTGCGAGAGCATCATGGGACCGCCAAAGGATTCTGGAAAATGCGGTCCCGGGTGGCCAGTGTGCGCTGACCTTCACCTGCAGGTGAGCTGAGCTCACCACGCAAGTCTCTGCCCTGGTGCACCCTTCCCCAAGCAGATGCCAGGTTGGGACAGAAGTGGCTCAGGGAGAGGCAATACTCTCTCGGAACTCCCGGTTTGGGGGCGACACTAACCCTGTGTCCCCTAGAGTAGGACAGTGTACCAGGACAGGGAACCCCCAGACTGTTCTCAGGGAGAGCAATATTGGCTCGGGGCAAACTCTTGGGATGAAGATGGGGAGAGTCTGGTCACGTTTCCCCAGGATTTTAGGGGACTTAGGCTGGACTTGGGTGAACAGCAGAAGATCCCCTGGTGATAGTGGTGGTGAGAATTGGAGGCTTGAGCCAAAAATTCCCGAGGGTTTTTTTTGTTTTGTTTTGTTTTTTGAGACAGTCTTGCTCTGTCTCCCAGGCTGTAGTGCAATGGCAAGATCTTGGCTCATTGTAACCGCCTCCCGAGTTCAAGTAATTCTCCTGACTCAGCCTCCCAAGTGGCTGGGATTACAGGCACCCGCCACCATGCCAATTTTTTTTTCTTTCTTTTTTCGTATTTTTAGTAGAGACAGTGTTTCGCCACATTGCCCAGCCTGGTCTCGAACTCCTGACCTCAAGTGATCCACCTGCGGCGGCCTCCCAAAGTGATGGGACTACAGACTTGAGCCCCCACACCCAGCTCGTTTTTATCTTTTATCTTACAGGTTTTTATCTTTTTTTTATCTTACAGGTGCGGCTTGAGGGAAACTTCTGGAGGGTGGGGTGGAATTGAAGCAGAGGCACAATTGTAACCTTTCTGCTCAATATGGGTGTTTTATTTATGCATTAGTTTGTGTTTTTAAAGATATTACATTAAAAATTTGTTTATCTTGATTACTGAGTTTCTTTTGTGGTGCCCCTTTAAATTCTCTATCCACAGTCCTGAGCCTTGATAGAAGTTATGGCCTGGCCTCTGGGCATCAAGCAGCCAGCAAGTCCCTTAGTAGCTTTCTCTGAATTATTGAATTGTGAGTGATCTTTTCCTTTCCTGACTTCCTTAATATCCACAATTTCCTTGTAACCATCCTTCCAAAGCCACACCCACAAGGCACCTCCAAGACCTATCATAAAGCAGATGTTCAAAGACTATTTGTAAATCTTCACAACACACCCCTTTCAGAATGTCTTCCAACACCCTTTGCCTGGAGAAGTAAAAAACAAGGTTTGCATGTTGAGTATCAGCCTCTCCCATTGGGTGGGTGTTTAAGAAGGAAGATCAGCCGAGAACCCTATTCCAGCCCAGGTAAATGACCTTGCCAAAGATTTAATATCCACAAATGTAGAATGCTTGTAGCAGTACTCAGTGGGAACCAAAGTCAGGCATGGGGCTGGGCTTTAAGGAGCACAAACGAAAAGGAGGGACTAGAAAACTTCAGAAAGGTGTTGGCGGGGACAGGGGACAGTGAGGATGTGGGATACTGAGATAATCCAAATCCCTGTGTGGAGACCTATGTGTACAAAGGCTGTAAAGAGAGACCCAGGCTGAAGGGGTATCTGTAATAAATCAAACATAATATAACAGCAGGTCGCGTGATAAGGGGACCCTGGAAAAACAGAACAAGCAGCAAAAGGAGCAATATCAAACTCCACAGAAATTCACAAACATCAAGACACTAAGAAAGCTGCATTCATTTAAATCAAGGTGACAGGCTGGGCGCGGTAGCTCACGCCTGTAATCCTAGCACTTTGGGAGGCCAAGGCGGCCAGATTATTTGAGGTTCAAGACCAGCCTGGCTAACATGGTGAAAGCTCGTCTCTACTAAAAATACAAAAATTAGCTGGGAGTGGTGGTGGGTACCTATAATCCCAGCTACATGGGATTATAGGCAGGGCGTAGGGGCTCATGCCTGTAATTCTGGCAGTTTGGGAGGCTGAGGCAGGAGATTCTTTGAATCCAGGAGTTTGAGACCCACCTGAGCTACACAGCCTGCCTCTGTTTCTACAAAAAACACAAAAATTAGCCAGACATGTTGGTGCACACCTGTGTGGTCTCAGCTACCATACAAGGATGACAAAAAGAATTACCTGGCTGGGTACTGTGACTCACACCTGTAATCCCAGCACTTTGAGAGGCTGAGGTGGCAGACTGCTTGAACCCAGGAGTCTGAGACTGGTTTGGGCAACATAGCAAGACCTTGTCTCTATTATTTAAAAAAATAAATAAAAAAGCAAAGAATTTCCTATGGCAAGTATTTTTTTTTTAATTAGAAAGGCAGCCAACTTCCATAAGAAGTCTGAAAATAAAAGCCATAAATCCCTTGTAGGGGCCAAGGGCTTTGGTCCTCTCAAGGTTGCTGAAAAATCAATTTGCAAAGGGCAGATTAATTGGAGAAAAGGTATACTAATTTATTTAATATGTATACACAAGTGCTTTCAGATTGAAGACCCAAAAATACAGGAAAAATGGTTCATTTTTATGCTTAGGATTGAAACCACCTTTGCACGAATTTTAACAGTGAGAAAATTATGACAGTGGAAGACATCTGATATAACCAATGCCCATCTTGCGTTTTTTTGGTTTTTTTATTTTTCTTTTGATGTTGTTTTCAAGATGATGTCTTGCAGATAGGATTGAGAAGCAGCAGGTTAGAATAAGTTGTCACAGAATTGATGGTGTGATGTGGCGGATACACTTTTTCACAAGAGGTATTAGGAGGATTTGGGGAAATGCTTATATGAGTGTAGCCTAATTTTAACTGGCCCAGCCCCATGAAGAAGCCCACCTTCATTTTCTTCAGTGAAATATAAAGGGAAAAAGAAAGATACAGAGACCAAATTTTTTGTTTATTAGAAGTCAGAACCTGGGCAACATGGCAAAACCCCATCTCTACAAAATATACCAAAAACAAACAAAAAAAAAATTAGCCAGGCATGGTGGCATATGCCTATAGTCCCAGCTACTCAGGAGGCTGAGGCAGGAGGATCAGCTGAGCCCGGGATGTTGAAGCTCCAGTGAGCCATGATTGCACCAGCCTGGGTGACAGAGCAAGATCCTGTCTCAAAGGGAAAAAAAAAGAGAAGTCAGTATTCGTAGATTTATTATGGGAAAGCACAGTTGCAGTTCTGGGACGACCTCTAGAAATAGTCCCATCTCTCAAAAAAAAAAAAAAAAAAAAAAAAAAAAAAAAAAAAAAAAAAAAAAAAAAAAAAAAAAAAAAATCAAAATATACACAAAGTTTCAGAGGAGACCTCGACTCAACAAGGTAACAATAGAGGAAGTGCTTAGTAAGCTGCTCTGACAGGGTCCCAAAAGAACACTCATAAGGGCCGGGCGCAGTGGCTCACACCTGTAATCCCAGCACTTTGGAGGCCAGAGGCCGGTGTATCACCTGAGGTCAGGAGTTCGAGACCAGCCTGACCAACATGGAGAAACCCCGCTTCTATTAAAAATACAAAAATTAGCCCGCATGGGGGCGCACGCCTATAATCCCAGCTACTCGGGAGGCTGAGCCAGGAGAATTGCTTGAACCTGGGAGGAGGAGGTTGCAGTGAGCCGAGATCGCACCATTGCACTCCAGCCTGGGTGACAGAGTGAGACTCCGTCTCAAAAAAAAAAAAAAGAACACTCATAAGAGACAAATGGTGTGTGGCAACTTTGATAGACAACTTCGATAGAATTTTTCACATTAACAGTCTCAGAAGGCCGGGCCTGGTGGCTCATGCCTGTAATCCCAACACTTTGGGAGGCCAAGGCAGGCAGATTGCTTGAGCCCAGGAGTTCAAGACCAGCCTGGACAACATGGCAAAACCTTGTCTCTACAAAAATTACAAAAATTAGCCTGGCATGGTGGCATGCATTTGTAATCCTAGCTATTCGGGAGGCTGAGGCAGGGGGATAGCTTGAGCCCAGGAGGGGAAGGTTGCCACCATGAGCCGAGATCGCTGCCACCGCGCTTCAGCCTGGACAACAGAGCCATACCTATTTTCAAAAAAAAAAAAAAAAGGCCGGGCGCGGTGGCTCAAGCCTGTAATCCCAGCACTTTGGGAGGCCGAGGCGGGTGGATCACGAGGTCAGGAGATCGAGACCATCCTGGCTAACACGGTGAAACCCCGTCTCTACTAAAAAATACAAAAAACTAGCCGGGCGAGGTGGCGGGCGCCTGTAGTCCCAGCTACTCGGGAGGCTGAGGCAGGAGAAGGGCGTAAACCCGGGAGGCAGAGCTTGCAGTGAGCTGAGATCTGGCCACTGCACTCCAGCCTAGGCGACAGAGCGAGACTCCGTCTCAAAAAAAAAAAAAAAAAAAAAAAACGATCCCAGAAGAGATCACCAAATCTGAGTAAAGCTTTAGACCGTGTTTGACTTGGCTGCCCTCTAGTGGGCAGAAGCCTGAACGGAGGGTAAGGGGAGGAAAAGGTGGGCTCCTAAACTTTCCCCAGTGTTTCCATCTGGAGTGTAGATTCTGCACAATATTTCCAGGATGCTCTGAGTCCTGGCCTCTTTTTTTTTTTGTGTTGTGTGTGTGTGTGTGACTTGCAGTCTCACTCTGCCGCCTGGGCTGCAGTGCAGTGCCGCGATCTCGGCTCACTGCAACCTCCGCCTCCCGGGTTCAAAGGATTCTCCTGCCTCAGGTTTCTGAGCAGCGGAGATTACAGACGCACGCCACCACACCCGGCTAATTTTCTTTTGTATTTTTAGTAGAGATGGGGTTTCACCACGTTGGCCGGGCTGGTCTCGAACTCCTGAGTTCAAGTGATCTGCCTCAGCCTCCCAAAGTGCTGGGATTACAGGTGTGAGCCACTGCACCTGGCTGAGTCCGGGCCTCTATTTTAGAGGTTTATGTGCAAATGTTTATTTCCGGGCTCCGTTTGCAGCAGGGACTTAGGGTAAAGGATAGTTTAATCATAAAGAAAGAATCAGACAATCCCAGAAGTATGGGATGTTATAAAAAACAACTGGCCTGGGCTATTCAAAAACTCAGTGTCAAGATAGCCACAAAAAAAGGGGAAGAGGCCGAGCACAGTGGCTCACGCTTGTAATACTACACCTTGAGAGGCCAAAGCAGACAGATTGCAGATGGAGAAAGGATCGCTTAAGGCCAAGAGTTCAAGAACAGCCTAGGAAACATATCAAGACTCTATTTCTACCAAAAAAAAAAAAAATTAATTAATTAGCCGGGCATGGGGGCACCCACTTGTAGTCCCGGCTACTTGGTAGGCTCAGGTGGGAGGATCACTTAAGCCCAGGAGATCAAGGCTGCAGTGAGCCATGATCGTGCCTTTGCAGTCCAGACCAGGAGACAGCAAGACATTACCTCAAAAACAAAACCAAAGAAGAAAAACGCAAGATGGGGATTGGTTAGATCAGATCTCCTACACCATCATAATTTTCTCACTGTTATCATTTGTGCAAAGGTAGTTTCAAACCTAACCATAAAAATGAACCACTTTTTGCCAGGCATGTGCCACACGCCTGTAATCCCAGCACATCCAGCCTGGATGACAGAGCTAGACTCTGTCTCAAAATATATATATATTAATTGGGTTCAAATTCTCTCTCTCTCTCTTTCTCTCTCTCTCTCTCACACACACACACACACACACCCCTCTGCTGTAAAGATTTTAAGCAATGTGGAGCCCCTGATCCCAGCTGCCTTAATGGTTTAGTCTACAACATGGTTGCAATCATCCTCAAGTCATCCTGAAATACTGGCGGTGAATTACAAAGATGCTGCAGCCACAACAGACACAGTCTTGGGAGCAACAGAAAACCTGGACTACCTCTCAAATTTTTGTTTGTATCCCCTCACATTATCACCAAGTTTTTCTGCCTTCCTTTATTTGTAGTTTCTTATTTTAGTTCACTTCATTTTCCTGGAACCATTTTTATATCACTT